TTGCTACTTATTGAGTTGGATTTTGGATTTTTTTGTTTGACAAAATAGGTCAATTCAATATGTCAGTCCAGGCTTTGGAAATTTTGTTGTTCATTTGTCTATTTTCTGACATCATACTGGTTATTAATCTCTTGTTCTCTTCCACAGCATGTGGAAGAAAGATGGCCACCCTTCACTGAGCCTGGCCTGCCAGAGGTTTCTTCCTGTTAAAAGGGAGTTTTTCCTTCCCACTGTCGCCAAAGTACTTGCTCATAGGGGGTCATATGATTGTTCGGTTTTTCTCTGTATGTATTATTATAGTGTCTCCCTTACAATATAAACTACGTTGAGGTGACTGGTGTTGTGGTTTGGCGCTGTATAAATAAAATTGAATTTACATATTAGATATTGTGCTAAATATTTGGCCAAACTAAAATTAAAGATAAGATTAAAGCTTGCTCTCATGATAACGGTCTCCCAGTGTTTCATTTTTCTTTTAGGTGTGCATTTCATATGCAATGTATACACAATATGCAGTTCAGAAATGTTTAAAGTCTTTCAAACCTCCACCACAAAAACCAATAGGGAGCTCCACATGACCATTTTCAGCGCAAACTGTATGACCTTCGACAGCTCCTCATGGCAGCCCTGAAAGATTGAGTCAATGAACAAGAAAATCAGAGAAACAGATGGGTCTAATCAAACCTTCATGAAGAAGCTTGATGAATTTATCAGGATGCACATGTCTACCTGTGTGTAAATTTGCCATGGCTGGTGAACAGTGCCATTACAAGTGGGGAAAGTAACATTGCAGCAACTGTAAGGAAACCTGAGCTTTCCACTTTTATTAAACCAGGTGGTTTCCAGCCAGTCCGTGTAGTTCTTCACACCGCAACATTTGAGCTAATGGAGACCAAAAAAAAATCACCACAAGTTAGTAAAAGACAGGGGAAACTGTCAAAATGTATATATATTATATTTGATTGACATGAGTATAAACAGGATTTGTTTTTCATTAGAATTTCTTAATATATCTAACTGTGCCATGTATGGACACATTACTTTAGGCCTGATTTTTCTGGATGAGGTAAAGCAGATCAGGGCTGAAAATTATAGCACTTTATAGGCATCTTATGGGACACTTTCAGTCATTACCTAAATATCCTCTTGAGTGAAAATTTCCATTAAGGAAAGATTATATATTTTGATTTTTAAAACATCATCTATTTAGAAGTATGCATAGTGGATCAGATATAGCTGTTGTTTTAGTATTACTGCTGCACAAGCTACACAAGTTTTACAACAACAACAACAAAAAAAAGCTTTTGTTGGGATTCATAGTCATGTCCATGTGACATATTAAAGTACAAACCTCCTCTTGCATAGCATCCACAGACCGAGAATTGGAGTCCTCGCTGCTGCCGGTGTAATTCTCAAACACTCCACTGAAGGGAGCCATCTCTGTATCCAGCTAAAGAAAAAGTTGGAAGAGACAAGAAGCAAAAACACATGTGCCTCTTTATCCCAAGAATAATCTTCTCTTATCATGAAAGCACAATTGTCTAATGCTTATTCATTTTTAAGTAATCTTACATACCGTCACTGAATGGAAATAAGCCAGTGCTGAAGCCGTACTTTTCACACAAAAGACCACAACTAGGAGGTAAACAAACTGCAAAAGAAAACACTTTTTTATGTAAACTCCAAACACTACATACACATAGAGATAATCACAGTCACAAACAGACTGACAGCCTCACCAGTCCCTGTAGACAGATGGAATCCTTGAGGCTCACCCAGGAGCCGACGCATCCGATGACCAATAGCAACGCAGCACTAGTGACTGTGACCAAAACTGTCAGGGTCATGTAGGACTCTGAAAAAAAGCGGCTATACTCGCCATACTTTATCAGCAGGTAAACTCCATTCAGCCACACCAGTATCCCCACTGCCTGATAAATTAGAATAAAAAATTATAAAAGTTATATTTACACATGCTATTGATATACAGCTTTATGGGTTATCACCACAGATAACCACACATCTTTTCTTTATGACAATAACTTAGTAAGAGGTCTCCTGTTTTGCCAAGCCATCTTTGCTAAGCTCAATATCTGCCAACTCTTCTGGTTTCATCCTACACACAACAACGTGTCCAAAGAGCATAACTCTTTCTTTTACAAGATACTTTGTTCAAACCTATTTTCACCTGGAAGCTTTCTAACCTAGCAGCTACAGAAGTGTTAATCTTACTACACCAGTTGGGCTACATGCCTCACATCATAGTTCTGGGAATTCAGCTGGCAACCTTCCACCCACTGATGCATTGCTGTTGGCTTACCCTAGCTGTTATAACTGTGCGTTAATTTAAATCAACACTGTTTCAAGAAAATCACAGAGGTATGATCAAATTTAAAAAAAATAACTCACAGCAGTTATACATGTTCCTTATTCTTTTGTCCAGGAAATTCAGAGGAAAATTCAAATATGAATGGCTTAAAATGAATTATTTGAAGAGCAATGAGAGCATTGGTTCTTTCTACTGTTCTCAGGTGTGTAGCTTGTTTTTTATGTTACTAACTTTGTTAAAAAACTCATACAGTTACCACAGAACTAATCATAGGTTTGCACTGTGCAACAATAAAATAAAATAAAGGGAAGTAAACATGGACTATTAAAATGTACAAATACGGTTTTTAACAGGCATGATTATAAAAAGAAATATAATAATGAATCTTCCACTCTCCCTTACTCTGATTTTTCTGTAGTTCCTGTTTCTCACATGACCTTCTCTGTCGCGTGACATGTGACTCGGCACTAAGGTTTACATGTAAAATCGCAAACAACATCTTTTATATCAGTAGCTTTTTTTAAATACTGTATTTACTATTTTAAACAGAAGTAAGAATCAACACTTGGCAAAAGTAAAAACCCTATTAATCACTCTAATAAAGTTAATTTTGGTAATATGATTGGAAGGAGAATACAAGATAATACACTAAAAACTGTAGCATGGCTGAAAAAGTCTCACCTACCAACATTAGTTGAGAAGTCAACTGAAGTGCTGTTTTTAAACAGTTTGTTCTCGGATCACTCATTTTCAGAGTAGCCTATATAAGCCGAGAGAAGAGAGCCAGGTGCGGATGCGTTAAAGCAAAGATGACATAATGATAAATGAATCGCGAAGCCTCTGTGGGTCTATGCAAAGTAAAGACAATCTATCTATTAAAAAACGACGTGCGCCTGGAAGCACCTTAGTCTTCACGGGAACGTAGACTAGTTAAACTTCCCTTCCGCACGGACCAAAGATCAACTTCCTGTAAGAACGCGGAAACCTCTTTATTGTAAAAACGTAATAGAAGCTCCACTAAGCCTCCAGCAAATATTTTGTGGTTGTTTAACTTATGGTGGAATCAGCAGTTCAGTCGCGTACTCGAAGTAAGAAATCCTGCACAATACATCACACGCTGTGCATTTGCTTTTGTAACGCTTGGTGTATTTCACCTCCGTATATCTGCACTCACCTGCAAATGGTGTCTGCAAATGGAAAACGTTACTTTTTCGAGCAGACCCCTACCTTCCCTTTGCAATCCTAGCTTACGTCAACACTGCCCTCTAGTGAATTTAAGCGAAATTACGACAAAGTGAGAGTTATTTTGTGATTGTGCCACAGTGCACGATCAGTGATAGAAGAGTAGGTCTAACTCAAAGCAGTGGTAAAAACTGTAAAAGTATTTTTTTTACAGCTACAAATGCAGACACGAGGCACATTGCCTCATGTTTAAAAAGTAAAAGTATTATTGCTACAACATGAACCATGTGTTTTTTGCCAACACCATCCTGGATTGCAAAAGAAAATAGAGACTTATATCTGCATACAATAACATTTTATGCACTTACATTTTTCCGTTTTGCCTGAAAATTGTAAAATTAAATTTTAACTGAACATTGTGACGGATGATTATGCATGATGTCTTTATTTAGCATCCCAAAACAGGTTTACATCTCATTTAATAAAGACATATGAAAGACTAAGATGGTGCCTGCAAATTTACGAAACCCCTGTGAACTTCTTTTAGGATGGATCAGTATAAAATATGTAAATGTAGCACAACTTTTATTATTATTATTATTATTATTATTATTATTATTATTATTATTATTATTATTATTATTATTATTAAACAGCCACCTTTGTCAGGAAATGTGGACAGAACATAACTTGGTGTAAGAATTTTTAAAATCCCCATTTCAAAATTCAGACAAAATGAATTTAAAACAATATATCAACTAAATCTGTAATTTGTACTTATTGAGGTTAAGGTCAGCACAACACTCCACTCCTGGTAAGTTCACCCATGCAGTAATAATATCTAGTATCTACAGCCTGAACATCACTGATGATTAAAGGTGAACTGAGAACCAGATCTACTGTCAATGAATCAAGATCGACTCCCTGAGAAGTGAGACAATGTATCACAAGGCCTCCAAGACTGAAAGCCTTGGATTTATTAATCTGAGTTAGAAATCTGTAAAATGACAGACTGATGTAAAGTAAGATGTAAGTACATTCAGCTTTACCTATTAGAACATTGTTAAACCTTAACAGATTGTAGGTCATAACAGAAACACATCGATCCTCAGCTTGTTGTCAAAGCACCAGTGTGATCAGCTGTGAAGTCGGTAACAACATCATTATGATAAAGCTTACAGTCAGAGACTCTGTCTGGAATCATTCAAAACACAACCAATACCAACAGTCCAATACTGCAACAGTCAAACCAATATCTGAGTTTGCATGAGGAAAGAAAATTTGTGTGTGAGATGCAAAGTGAAATCATCATTCAGCTTTGTTACATTAGTGAAATGATCAACCTGTTAAAAAATCACAAAAGACTCTTACAACATGGTCAGACTACATAGAGATATTTGTAAAGATTCACAGTGTTTAGTCCTATTATGTTTGTCACCAAAGATCAGTGACGTTTGAGTTTTGAGGTTAATAAGAAGAAAATGTGAGTTTTCAGTTTTAATGACTGAAAAGTGTGCTTGAGTGAGAAATGTTTTATTTCTGTGGCCATAAGTGCCAAGATAAAATTATGTGGTATCTTTAGATTCTTTAAAGTATCATTCAATTAAGTGCACTTTAAAAAAAACTTAAAAAATGACATTTATTTTTTGATAGTGTTAGTCTTTGAGCACTCATCAGCTCTGTGTTCAGTGGTCTGTGACATAGTTTCTTCCCCTTCAGCAGCTGCAGTCAGTTCCTGCTGTAACAGCTCAGTGTCTCTGCAGTCTGACTGAGGGAGGTTTTTGTACGACTACAAATCACTGTGCAAACATATAAGCACTGTTTATTTCATGGAAACTCTGACAGTAGTAAACTGCTGCATCTTCAGCCTGAGCTCCACTGATGGTCAGAGCAGCATCAATACCGTTCCCTCTTCCACTGAATCGAGCTGGAACTCCACCACTGGATGGTTTGTGTATACCATTGTAAATCAGACATTTTGGAGCTTGCCCAGATTTCTGCTGATACCAGTGTACTTTACTAGCTCCATCTGTCCAAGTATAAACTTTTGGATTGGTGTTGCAGGTCAGAGTGACAGTGGATCCAGGAGTAAATGTCTCTACTGGAGGTTGAGTCACAGTCACCTGACCGCTGCCTCCTGCAGACAAAAACAAATCATTCATTTATCAGCAGAAATCAATGAGAGAAAAAGCAGCACATCATGTTTGAAATGTTGCTGAGCGAATGAACCTGTAAAACAGCAGCAGGTCAGCGTCCAGATGAGGATGGTGATGAGAGTCATGGTGGTTGTGCTTTCTGCTGTGTTGACTGACAGATGTGAGTCCTGCAGTGTTGAAGTCACAGGACTATAAACCTTCTCAGTTCTCTGGAGGATCAGCTGATGATGCAAAGCCTGCTCTCTATGGAAATGATTTCTCTGCTCTCAACACACTGAAGGAAACTTTGTGACACAAAATAAAAAAAAATGTTTGGATTAATACCATTAATAATTTTATGTAATAAAGGAAAAGATTTTGGAAACATATTAACATATTTTTACCACCTGGATTAAAATGGCACTCTGGTTTGTATGTTTACTTTTTGATTTTGGTATCAACAAATACAACATACCTGTATAGCTTTTTTAAATTATATTGTCATAATTTCTGATTTCATGATTTTTAAAGTGTTTCTGTTTGCTATTTTAAACTGTTTTGTGTAGGTGTTTTTTAAAAAAAAAATAGCTATAGGTTTATGTGAAAATTAAGTTTTGCCTTTCAGTTCTTAGTAAAAATACAACAATGATAATTATGATTCCAATTCATTAAATAATTTTAAGTCACTTTAGTTAAATCATCTTCTGTATTTAATCAGGTGTACTGTGATGTTTTACATAAAAAAGGGTTCATTTTCAGTGGTTAGAGGTTTGTTCAGAGTGCAGGAGGTTTTTGTATGGCCACTTAATCAGTTTGTATCACTGTGGTACACGTTTGGCGGAGGAACCAAACTCATCGTTGGCTGTAAGTACCAGAAATTTGTAATTTTTGATAAACATAGTATTTAACTACGTTGCTATTTTCTAAAAATCTATTAAACAGAACTTTGATCAAATTCAGTGATTATTATTAACTTGATGTAATAATTTTAGAATAAACTTTTCTTCAATCAATATTCATTCAGTTTTTTAAAGAACTGAACATACAGAAAACAATTTTTAATGTTCTTTTTCGTTCTTTAAATATTATCCGGTTAAAATATTAAAATCTGTGATTGTGAAGTTTTAGCTCACTTTGATTTAAAATGTATTTTTACTTATGAATTTTGAAGTAAAAACAAACATTGAATTATGGTTTGTCGACTTGAAAAAAAATTACTCAGTATATTTAGATCCATTGTGTGTTCATGGTTGATCAATTTTAAATTAAGTTTAAAGGAAGTGAAAGAAACAGATGTGAAGTTTTAACTGTATTCTCATGAATGCAAAAAAGAAAACACAGGGTTGAGTTATTAACTGTAATAGATTATTTTAAAAAAAGAAAGATTTGATCAATAATCACTGACAATATATTCATTCAGATGTTTGTACATTTGTATCCCTTTTTTCGATTATCTTCAACCTTTTCTCCTCCAGCGGGTGTGGTGAGGCCCAC